AGTCAGTCAGTCGAGCGGCGTCGTAACGAGCATTCACGAGTTCTTTAGATAAGAGTAGCGTATTAAATGAAACAAAGATAACACAACCTCCACGTCCGACATATTGAATGAAATGAATGGAGCACACATGAGCACAGTCGAGCCGAGCGTTCAAAAAGAGCATTCGATACGCCTCACCAGTTGTGGTGTAATGTAACATGCTCGCCGCGAATGTTACATTACGAGTAAATGTTACAAGTCAGTCGCCACCTTTAGAGGAATGTATTGTCTGTACCTTCGTGATGAACAGGACCACACATCACCACAACCCAAAAGACCACAACTTAATATTGTGACAGGTTTATTGTGGCCTTTTTTAATCCTTCTACACAAATTCACGGAAAGTCCCTAAAAATAGGCTATGGCCATTTCCTTCTACATCCTTTCTAATTAATCTTTCACAATGAAGCAGATAAAACACTTTTTAAACGGACCAACAATCAATCACTCAGTTACCTTTGTCCAGTGCAAGTTTGAGTGTTTCTATTTCTTCAGCAAATCCTGACACTCTGTACAACCCTTCTGCATCCAGTCCTCGCCTTTCTATTTCACTGATACACTTATCAACCACGAATGGGCGAGCAGTCCTGTGAGCCTTCACCAATGTCGTGAGATCAATTCCAAATACCCCACGCAGTTGTTTCAAGTCTGGACAGCAGTCACAGGGCACCTTTTCGGAACATTTGCTATGTGCACTGAAGCCACAGTCTGAAAATGAAAAGTGTGGTATTTTAAATAACTCAGATTTCTTTCGATCTTAAAATGAGAACTCTAATTCTGCTTAACATGAATTTTTGCAATAAAAGCATCTGTACACTTCCACATTAATTTAATGCTGCAGTGATCAAATTCTGTACTATTTCATTAACAACTTTGAAGAAATGTGACATATCAGGTTTTAATATGAAATGCTGTAACAAATTGAACATTTCAATAAGAATAGAATGAAGCACATTCAGAGTAATCACAGAGACATTTTCTAAGCTGAAATAAAATCTTAAAAATGTCCTCACATATAATATTTTAAAAGAATTCTTATGGTCCCTGTGAGTTGAATATGCATTGTATTTCATTATGGATGTACATATTACAAAGTATCTCCTTAATTATGTTTTATAATTTTAGTTTTCTTTTCCAGCATGTAGTGATGAAATGAAATTTAATTAATATCAGTCTGGTCCTTGTATGGTATTATCTTAAATGAAAACTCCAATGGGCTGGTCACTGAGTAGTGTGTCTAGTGGTAACATGTCTACATTCAAACAAGTTTTGTGGTCCTACATTTCCTTCACCATTGATGAATTTAAAATATCTCAAATGCTGTAAGTTGACCTCAGTTATATGATGACTATGAGACAGCAGTAATGCATGCATACATAGAGTGGTCATAACAGTGTAATACCTGTGCAGGTAAGACTCGTGGGCAAACTTACACACAAACTATTATGAGTACAGATTACAAAATTATACTTTTTAACTGACTAAATTATGCCATGTGGTGGGTTTTGTCCTACATGAAAATATTCATTTCCAGAATAATTATAATTACTTCTCAGATGCTGAATTGAAGAGAACTTGCTAGTAGTGCCATCAGTAATTAAAACTGTTTCCTAGAAGAGAATAAGATTTGCAAAAAATAAATACCTTCACATTTGACTCCTTGGGCTGTGAATCCCCACAGAAAATTTCCACAGAATTCACACCAGTTCAGGCCCTTAAATGTATGTATTTTAAAAGCATGGGGTTTATCATAATCCACTGTTTCAGAAATAAGTCCTTCACAAGTAACAGCTTCTGTAATAGATTCGTCTTTGGTGTCTAGCTGTGGGATTTCTGAGTGTTTTACTTCCTTTTGAAGGAAGGAATCTGTTGCTGTGGTGAGGTCAGCCCTTCTGCTAGCCACAGCTCTTCGTTTCAGTCTGTTAAGTGTCATATAGGGACTCTTCTCATAATTATTGAAACTATCCATCAGTTCAATGTAAGGTGCAGCATTTGCTTCCATGTAAAGAGTAACAAGTCCATCAGCCACCAACTCGTGCAAGGAATCAAAACGTTTATCCTTAACATAATGTTGCCCATCATAATAAAGTTTGTAGTGTTTAATCTTGGTATCAAACCTGTCAAAATCAAGAGAACCATGGAATCAGAATAACATTTCAGTATCCAAGTTATCCTCTCTTAAAATATACTGTTCACATGACCTTTACCATACATGCCGATTAACACAGATTGCAACTGGCATATAATTAAAATCAAAAGCAGGAGCCGCAGACTGCAGGTCAGATTGCCATATGTCTTACAAATGATCCAGTTTATCCTCAGACTTTTGGAACATGCAGATGTAAAGTCTTCAATGTATGTAGGTTCAGTCTGAGTTGCTTAAACACTGCTGCTGGAAAAGATACCAGTTCAGTAGGTGACAAAAATCATGAAGCACTTGGAATCTTGTGGGACAATACAGGCAAGCTCATTTCATCCAGTTATATGCATTAATCCTGATGGTTAGAGGTATTCTGAGGATAGATGTATAGTAATGTAAGGGCAACTTTGTATTCAGTGAATGAGTAGTGTTTTAAGATAGCTGTCTTCCGGGTTATAGTACTATGCAGTCTGGTAGAGGTTTACCAATGTTTCAGAGGTACTACCTGCCCCTATCATCAGGGTAATATGATAATTCAGGCAGCACAGACCTCTGAAATGTTGGTAAACCTGTACAGACTGCACAGTTATTATGGAGCAGAACTCCATGTACAATGATTTTCAGTTATTTTGTATGTGTATCTGTTCAAGTAATACTAATCTTCACTTACATAAATGTCATACCTGAGTGTTAAAGTATAAAATCCACTGTTCCCTCCACTCTGTCGAACCAAATATTCACCTTCTTCCACTAAAAGGGCTGATGCATCAAGATGTGATATTACACCATGAAATTCTAAACCATAATATTGTGGACAATTTGTAACGTGATGCTTACATGCAACTGGCCTGGGACGTGGTGCTTCCAGCTGGAGGCGATACACTGAAAATGAAAATGTAAACAATAGCATAGAATTTCTGTAATATAATGGTTATATTACATATACATATATTAAAAAGGAGGGGATAAACTCACAATTTGGATTCCAAACATGTTGATGTGGTGAGCCTTGATCTTGGACAGGACTACCTGAAATAGAAGCGGCAACTAAATTAGAATTGTGGTTCAAGTATAATGTACAAATATCTCAGAAATTTGGTAGTGACAGTACTTTAATGATTCTAGCGATTTATATCTTTGTCTGTTGGACTCTGAACTTGCGGTCAGTGAGTTGTGAAAGTGATTATTGTGGAATTCTACCGTATTTAATGGTTATAAACCTAATTTAAATCAATATCGAGCTTGCAATTTCCTATAATATAGTAGGATAATGACCTTTTGAAATTTTTACGTTAGTATTGAGTTAAAATTAACTACCTTCTTTAATTTCTTGCCAGTTCATTTTTTAGTTTCTTCTTTTGCATTTACATGTATATTTTAACGATTTTTATTTATACATTTTTATAAATTCAACTAGGCACAGAAATAAATAACACGCTGGCGGCACCGTTTCTCAAATAAACAAATCTTTATTCCTTTTATAACTAGGCCATCTATGAAGCGAACATGTATCGCTGACATCTGTGAGACTGATCCAGGTGCGTAGTGCGATCGGTAATAATGATAGCTTAGCTTCAAAATTTCCCACATTCGGCGCTACGTTGAAGAGTCGTACAGGCCTGTGTTTTATTAACTGTGGTTGAAGCCACCAATGTATCTGTATTATTATTACGTTGTCGATAAGATTGGAAAATTTCTATGGAATGTAAATAAATTCTAATTTCAAGAAATGTATGTTTAGTCCAATGTATGGGTTCAATCCACGCTGTCCTTTCTCCATCTCTGTGAAATTCTGTTACAGGTACGAGCACAAATTGCGTTACGAATGTGTGGAAAACAAGTGAGATTTGAGGTTAATTCCATGAGATGATGCCTTGGATGTCATTTGTAATTACTAATGGTTCGTTGAAACACTTTCATGATAATGGAAATCTACCTTAAGGACACAAGTAATCGCACATTTATTCAAAAATTCTAGGAAGTACTGTATAATAGTTAAAGTTATTTATACAAATACTGACAATTATGTAACGATATCCGGAGTTTTTATGAATACTTATTTGTATATATTAAGAGTATCATAATTTTGAGCATATTCTCTAACGGACCTGATTGATTACTTTTGCCAGGAGTCCTCTGTGACCAATGGTTCATCTGTTCGTTATTACCTTGTACGTTGTGTAAGGAGTACTCTGCTTCGGAAGTAAATCACGAAATTATTCTAATCATGAAGGGTTTTAGCCTCGCAAGTATGAAATCTCACCCTTCTGTAAGTGAACATATTTCCTAGTGTAGATATGTAGTAGCGACTGCAAAGTTCTCTTACTGTGGAACTTGGTTGACCTTCGCTGTAAAGCAATGTTGCGATTTTTGTTACAGCTAATTCCACTGTACGTGTGTGTGGCGTTAGGATGCAGTGGAGCAGTGCTGTATACCATAAGATTAGCCGTTCGCAGTCCCGAAGTGTCTTGGAATAAGAAGTCAAATCCTGAGCCTTGGAATGAATATGCCAACAAACAGCACAAGGTAAAATCGGAATGTACTTCTGACATGTTATTAGCCCTCATTGCGTTGTTTTCTTAAATTTTCATTATTAACTTTGATGTAGCAGTTTATTTATCTGCATATTTATATTTCTGTTTCAGTTTTATTCTCCAGTCAGAGACTACTCGAATATTGAAAGCCCTGCCCCAAAATATGACTAAAAGCAGTAAGCATGGCACATTTTTCTTGTAGGAAAATGAATTTTAGGAACTACTGTTCACTTGTAAAGGAAAATATTAAATATATGTGCATATTATAGTGTATGATAATACCATCTGTAGGTGTCATACTTCTGAAATGTAAATAAAGATTAATTTTCCCAGTTCCATTCAGCAATGCTTCAGAATGTGATACTCAATTTATCTGGTGAGTGTCCTTTCATCTAATCCTATGTTTCCAAAGTGATATGTCATAATGTTTTTAAACAAATTATGTATGTGTTCATCATCTCATCATCCTCAGTTTGGTAACCTGATAAATGTTAATGAAAAATTAAAATTATGACGATGTATCAGTATGTAATGTTTGTCCTCTTATTTTCTGGTAGGTCCAGTTCTTAGCATTTTATTCTTGAACACTTGCTATAGTACAAAACAGACTTCTTAAAAGTTAGAGTATATATTGGTTGCTGTGCAGGATTGTATAACAAAAAATTCTGAGGCTCTGAACATTATCCTATATATAAACTACATTTATGTATGAAAGATGATACAGGGCAATTTTTGAGATGTGTTTAATGCACACACTCGCTTTCGTAAATACAATAAAATAATCTATTTTACATATTTTTTTCAAAGATAAATACAATAAAATAATCTATTTAACATATTTTTTTCAAAGATTTTAAAATTTATTTATAGAATGAGTTGTTTGGGTTATTACATGTGAAATATTTTTCTTTCTAAAGGTGGTCCTTGCATCACCATATTTCATAGGTTCAAACATTCATATACATTCTCTAATTTTGATCATAATTTTTGGATTGGAAGTTCATGGTATACATGCCTCTCAATTTTGGCAGTCACTGTACTGAAAGTGAAGTAAGACGAGTTGGTTGTGCAATTTCCTTATTTATACAGCAACTATGTAATAATTCACACACCAAATATTTCTAAATCCAGTTTGAACCATTTGGTTAAATGAATTGATTTCCCAGATGCCGCTGATGATGACCTCTTGAGGTTGAAACACGTATGGCAATAGTGTCTTTTTTATAGTGTTATTAGTTGTATGTTACTTATTTGATATTCTAATACACTACACGGTATGCAAAGTTTTAAGATTATTTGGGACTTGTTACCTTTTTTAATGGATATACTGTAAAAAAGCAGCCTACTTAGTTTTAAATTTGTTAACAAGTGTAGCCCACTTTTAGAATTAACAGATGTTCATACTTGTGTTACTGGAAAATTTTTTGAGCTGTATAAAAGTTTAGAGCCATAGTCTTCATTTTTGGTGACAACATTGTTAGTTTCAAATCATATCTTCATTTTGTGCCTTGCAATAGTTATATAGTACAATGCAACTTCTCCCATTTAATAACATATATGTATCTGCACATAAAATAGTATGGGAAATCTGTACATTTAACATTATTGCATTTATGTGCAGTGTAAGAAGTAATACAAGAACTGAATCCTGCAGTACACCAAATTTGACAGCTCTGGGCTCAGAGATATAACATGTCTCAAAGCTTTTTCATCATGATTGACAATTTCAACGACTGGGTTCTGCTCAGGTAAATATGACTTGAACCATGGCTACTACACCTATAATACTATAGTTACTTGAAAGAAGGAATGAAAGCTGAAATCGTTTGACAGCACTAGGTTACAGGGAATTTAAATGGCACAGCAAATTGTTGTATATAATACAATCTGTTTATTACCATGACATAATTAGGAACACCACAATGTACAGTACGAGACCCCTTGCCCATAAGTTTTGGACCGAGACCGTCTAGATTTTGAATCAAATGTCATTGCCAAAAGTTGGGACATTTGAATTATCATAGAGGCTTAAATACTGTTAGTGACTCCCCCCCCTGAAAAAAACATTACTACAGGTTTGGACTACATGGCAATAGGCAGTTATGTTGACACTATAAAGTTTACAGCTTATCTCTTGGATGTGGTATTGTCTTTCTGTGGGGTTTTATTGGTTCTGTGATGGAGCACTACCAGAAGATGCACAGCAGAACATTCAGATGATGCAAGAAAAGGTGCATGCACATGAAAAGTGAAGTTAAGGCATTCCTTTGATTTTTATAAGATATGGCACAGACTGCATTAACATGAGAATTCTGAAAACTGGATTTCACAGCATTTTATTTTAATCATGCATATGTAATTTTTTCATGGTATTCTGTCTTTTCATTTTGAGAAAATTCTGCTTGGTAGTGAATGCCATCCATACCTGGTGAACTATAAATTCATGAACACGGTATCAATTTTGAATATCAACTGACTTGAGATTTTACAAAAATGCAGCCATTTAAAAATATACTGATTTCATGTCCTCGATATGGATTCTGGTTCTGTAACTAATAATTAATTACACAAAACTCCCATGCTGGAAGTTTTCACAAAACCAAAATGTTATAGGAAGCTGTGAAATGATTACACCGAGACTTATCCCATAATTAATACTGAAATTATGTGACTTCAAATTTTTGTTACATTTTGTATCTGAAAAATTCAGTGACCAAGGTCTTGTATTACTGCATTTATAGGTTACTGGCTTCAGCACTATTCCACATCTTCTTCTTCTTCTTCATGTTCTTCACTTGGCTTTCTGATAAGTTTCCATTCTTCTGCTGCCTTCAGTGCCTCTCCAGCATATTCCCATACTTTCTCTTTACCTTCCTCCTTAATGGTGGAAAGAGCCATGAGAATCTCCATGATATCAGTGGCAACGAGCTTCTCTGCAACATCCTTGCAGCTATGCATCATGTTGTACACAATGACAACTCCCCTATGCTGCAGGTCTTTATTAGGATTTGCCAAAAGCTTATGCAAAATGTCTAACCAAGTCTGTGGTTGAAACACCTTCTTGCATGCCTTTGTGCTAGCTGAAGTGAGAACAGCAAGTGCACCAGCTGCGGCCATGTTTGTTTCCTCATCATCTTCACTGCACAGCAATACCAGAAGTTTGGTGCGATCATTTTTACCCTCATATATCTTCACAACATCAGGAGATGTGATAAGGTTCGTCATCACCTGTGTCGCGGCCCTTTTCAACATTTCATGCTCTTCATACATGTAGTTTTCTATTTTGGGTACACCACCATCCTTGACTATTCTTTTCCTGATAGTTTCATTGACCCCTGCCAAGTTGCACAGTGCCATAAGAGCTTCAAAATTCTCCAGAGCATTACAGTCTAGTGACAATAAAGAGAGGAGCGGACGAATAACTTCAACACTTCTTTGTCCAGGAAACGCAACTTCAGGATTAATGGTAATCCCAATACGAGCAAGAGCCTGAGCAGCTTGTTTCTTCCCCTTTTCAGTTCCTTCCAAAGCCATCGGAAGCAATACCTTTGCTCCACCCTGCTGTACCACCAAACCTCTTAAGTCCTTCTGACAGCATATTGCATTGAATACTCTGGAAATTAGTTCCTTTGTATTTTGACTTTCAGTTTTAGATAAACCCACCAATGCACTTGTAACACCTTCCTTTGCCAGAATTTCGAGTCTCTTAGCTACAAAATCTGGATCATCCAGTTCATGTTCTTCTGGGATATGATGTTTTGAAAATTTTGCAAGTTCCACCATCTCTGGGATCACTTCTTGTTTTTCATATGCATTGGCCAAGTTAACAAGTGTTGTCACACAACCATACACTGCAGACTGATCACCACCCTTGGCTAGTTCAATCATAGCACGAAGGGCATCTTTGTCTTCCACCAGCTTCTCCTTTACATCAGCATCCAAGGTGAGATATGAAAGACCTTCCACAGCCCACCTTCGCATATCACAGTCCTTGGCGGGATTAATCAAGAACCTCCGACAAGCCTCAGCCAACTTAGTTGTAGAACCATCAGAAAATGGCCGTATTGAAGCATCAATGCCTCCACTGCTACCCAATTTACATAAACCAACCAGGGCACGAACACGAATATTGTCATTCTTGGACTGATATAGTTTCTTCAAGATGTCAACTCCTTGTTTGATGATACTATGCACTTTATCTCTTTTGGAAGCTGCTGCAATGATGCATTCACAGGCCACCTTTTGTTGTAGGACATCATCCGTACCAGCCATAACAAGGATCATTTCCATAATTCCTTCCCGAGATACAATTGTATTGCCCACATCCAATGGCCCTAACAGAAGAGTTGTCAGTGCTACAACTACACGCACCTTTGATTCGATGTCTGGTGTTATGAGCTTGTCTTTGATGTAATCATCCACACTATTGAGGAATCGGGCACGAGTCTTATCATAGTACATATTCTCATAAATACGGGCAAGACACACTGATGAAATAGTGCGTGTAGATGATGTGATCTCCATGGAAGACTCGTACTTGTACTCTTCCAACTCACTTGCAACCTCCATAAGACGGCGCAGACCATGGATTTCAACAAGATGCTCAGCCCAATTCAATGCAGAATAGTGAATATTGCGAGTAAGGAGTTCCATAAGAGCATCCCGAGCTAACCCTGAGATAGTGCGACTGGTTGTTGCATATACAAGGCAAGTGAGCATAGTATCTATTTCATTTTTATTCTCCTGACACAATTCTGACTGGGGCTTGCTGTCTGGTTTGTTATCCATCCCACTCAGACTATTGAGAATGGTCTGTATGCAATACTGAGCTGCATTCACTTGCACTTCCTCCCTGCAGTTCAAAATATCTAGGAACCACGGAACACCAACTTCCTGAAGCACGCCTTTTGTCCTCTGTACACAGTTCTTACATAGTTCGCCCACAATTCTCACTGCACTTAGGAAAATTTCCTTATTCTTCTCAACTTTGAGTAGACTACTGATCCTATGTACAATTCCACTTTGGTACATAATTTCTGCACCTACCTTATCACGTGCCAGCACCAGTAAGTTTTTTATTGCAGTTTCCCGCTTTTCTTTCTCCTCTTCAATATCAAATGCATACGTGAACATTTGTGCCACTTTGTTGGTTGTCTGTGCATTCTGTCGTATGCGCTCTTGCACTACCTGATGAAGTCTTTCAAGAATTGGTTGGATAGCTTTATTTCCTGGATCAACTGTATGAATTTGCCGGGCATCACGATAAGCTTCTTCATATTTCTCCAGTGCTTCCAAGGCCTGACATCGTCTGAACAATGCCTTGGGATCATTAGTTACTATGTCAAGTGCGACAGTACAGTCATCGCGCGCTTCATTGTATTCATTTTTCTTGAGATGTACTGCCGCCCGATTCTTGTAATACACTGCTTTTTCTGGTGTATCTTCTTTTGTCTGCTTAAGAGCTCTCGTGTAACACTTGTAGGCTTCATCCCAGTCACCATTTTTAAAAGCTATGTTACCTTTCTCCTTCCACGACTCGGCATCTAAAACAGTCTGATTATCAACTACTGTAGGATTCGTCATCTCCAACTGCTTAATTCACTGGCGTACGTACTCACTTCAGAAGTAATTCCGAACCGTAGACTGTCAGCCTCGTATCGACTTTATAGCCCCAAATCTTGCGGCCTGGAATATTCTAGTTGAAGACCATGCGTACAATCTATTTTTAGAGTTTGTATTTCCTAAAACCCATTGCCCTGACTAATCTATAGTCATCTATTTCTGGAAAGTATGTTCGTGAGTTTCCTCCGCAGTTGGTTACATTGCTATTGAAAGGTACGCATTACCAACACAAGAGAAAGATAATTAAAGTCTCGTATATCGCTTTAGAAAGATGGCATTGATATTGTTTACCTGTTACATAATTGTTATCGTCAGTCTACGCTGAAATCACATCTATGAGTAGTGTATGTGTGTTGTTTAGGAACTTCCCACGTGTATTTACAGATAATACCAGCTTGTATTTATATCGATTTCTACAGTACTTTTATTTTTTCCTTCTTATCACTCGTATATTTCCCGAATTATTGCATTCTATTTCCTTAGAACCGTTATAATCCTGCAGCTTGAAATTAAGATGACGTCCCAGTGGGAAGAGTTTTATGTAACCCATTCGACCCCGGCAGATTATGAAGAAAACAAAAAGAAAATAAATGATTTTTGCCGAAACGTCAGTGCAGAACGGAAGATAGTGTTAGTTACGGTAATAGAATTGTTATGCCAGTGACATAATTTGTCGTTGCAGTAGAAAGTGTTACACTATATGTATATTATATTTGCAGTCTGGTGGTACAGCTATACCCCTGGAACACAACACAGTTCGATTTGTGGACAACTTTAGTGCTGGAACAAGAGGCTCTGCATCAGCTGAATATTTCTTAGAGATGAATTATGCTGTTATTTTTATTTACAGGTTAGTGATTCTGCAATGTAAGGAAGGGAACATATAACAATGAAATGGATGGTGTGGATTTTGGATTCCTTAACTTGGAACAATTTCAAATAATTACAAAGGGCTTTCTGTTATTTAGATTGTGATGCATGACAGAATATCTGACTTGTGTAGAGCTGTGATTCACATTATTATTTTATCCTGTGATATGACTGATGGTTGTAAATTGACTGGACTAAACATTGAGATCAAATGGTTGGTGCACCTGTTTTGTATTTGGGAGTCTGTGATTTAAATTTTGGCTCAGGGACTGGCTACCCAGACATTTTTGTGGTTTCCCTCTGTCCCTCCAGGAAGATTCTTGAATAGTACTGTAAATTAAAGTATGACTGCTTCCTTCCACATTATTCCAACTTATTATTCATTTATCACGCTATCATTCAACAATATATAATATCAGCTACTGACAGCTACTGGTCAAATGAACTATTGTCTTCATTTGAAAAATATATTCTGTTAGCCTCCATATGATGACCACCTCATGTAATGTGAAATGGTGAAATAGAATATATATGAATACAGGCAGACCTTGACTTAGGTAAGGCTTAATTTTCACAAATTGTTATATGAGTTGAATTTTACTGCATTGAAAATTACCATAAGCATGCCCATTTGTCATATTATGCACTTTGATGTTACTCTACAGATAGTAAAAATAATTTAACAGCATGCATCTAATATACCTTAATTTTTGATAAATTTTACTTTAAGTTGAATTTATGTCAATTAAGTCTTACGTAACCTGCTGGAGGGTCTATTTGTTTTTTTTCCTTAAGAATAATTTATTAGATTGATGGCAGAAGAAACTTGTAAAAGAAATTAAGGAGTTGCTAAGAGATTCTGATCTCAAAGAATGGATACTTTACAGATTAGAACGCAATTACCAAAGACCACAAACTAAAACACAAATTGTAATTTTTCTGTTGCATTTAATTATGTAATGTGTCCAACTCCTTACAGTACTGTAACATTGTTATCACATACAAAATAAGAGTGAGTTTACAAATGTGTGTTTTGTTTTCATGTGTGTAGACACTAAAACCAGCACATACGTACTACATTCAGTAACAAGAAGACATGTTTAATTGTAGGATGGCTTGTTCACAATGTATCAATTTCTTTTCCTAAAGTGAATTCCTGATGCTAATAAATTTGTGCAGAACAGAAGTTGTTTAAATCATATTTTTAAAAACACAGAAATTGCAAATATGATACTTGAAAGGTCTGTTTTAATTCCCTGACTATACTGCTATTCCCATAAATCTGCATACTGCTATCCCATTTCTAGGAATACTATTGTTGTATATGTCTGCTTTCTTTTTGAGTGAAATAAGACAAAAATACTTTCAGGTTGAAGTCTTTGGAGCCATTTGTCCGACATTTCATGGGACAAGAGTTCCTTGATATGCTGGATGTTCGAAAAGAGGGAGATGTAACATCTGTGGTGGGTAAGTCATAAACTTTGTGGCCTGAAAATGAGAGTATATTTGGCACCCAACACAAATCATGTATGCCCTTTGTTAGTTTCAGAAATGTTTAGAAGATTTGTCTGCTTTTCACAGCTTGTCAAGTACTGGTAAGTACCAGTAATAATTATTTGAAATTAAGTATGTGTGAAGAAAATATTGAGCTTATAATTCTTACTGGACTGATAAAGCATGAATTACCTACTTTATGATGTAACAGTATTTCATGAATTAGTCCAAGGTTGTGAGAGTAATATTACCTGGCATTTTGGTTTCCAACAGTACTTACAAGGTAAACCAAGATCCTGTCCTGTTTCGTGCAAAATTCTACAGACAGAGAAGCATTGACTAGTGTTCTATGATCTGCTTTTTGGATATGTTAAGTATGTTGCAATAAACAGGCTTTGAATGGTTACATGCTGGAAGTTATTACCTTATCACAGCCACCTGTCCAAGGAACTGTATGTATAAAATACTGGATGAACCAAGTTCTGTACAAGAATCATGTTCATGTTTGGCTCAGTAGATATCTCATATGTTGGCAAAACATTTTTGTCATTCAACTTTATTTTTCATGGTCTGAACAAGGGGATGCTTTATTGCCGTTTTCTTTCAGTTTTATTTTAGAATATGCTGTTAGGAGAGCTCAAATTTAATGCCTGTATGCAACATAAACTTAACCCAGGTTTAAAATAAAACTAACCCGAAAACATATGTGTGAAATTTGTCAAGACATCCTGTGTGTTTTGTATCATATGGTTTCATTTTCAGTGAAGAATGATTGTGTGAGTTCAGTATTGCCTGTACTTACAAGATACAAGTCAGCTAAGGAAGCTGGCCATTTGCTGTGTATCTCATTTACATCCTTGAGTGAATATTTATGGCTCCTAAGGGCTGCGTGTGAGTGTCTTGCTTCATTTGGTTCACGGGCACTTCTGTACCTTGCTGCTGCTGTGTCAGATTTCTACATTCCTTCAAATCAGATGGTCAGTAAGTAAACTGATATCCACAATGCATATTTCTGTAAATGTTTTTCTGTCATTCTAAAAGCAACTGTTTTGCTCTCTTTTTCAGCCGGTGCACAAGATGCAGTCTGAAGCTGGAGCACCAACCATTTCTTTGCAACTTGTTCCTAAAATGTTAGAACCACTTGTCAATTTATGGGTACCTCATGCTTATGTAGTTTCTTTTAAACTTGAAACAGATGAGGGTCTTCTCATCAGTAAGGCTCGTGGGGCACTTGCTAAATATAAGCACAAGGTATATATTTATAAAGTATGCACAAATTTTAATGAGTTAACTCATTTGGCAGCTGTTATGATTTTTCATATGAAATAGAAAATGTAATTTTTTTGTGTTTTTACAATAACTCATTTGACAGCTGTTATGATTTTTCATATGAAATGGAAAATGTAATTTTTTTGTGTTTTTACAGATGGTGATAGCAAACATTCTTCACACACGAAAACACAGAGTAGTGCTTGTGATGCCTACAACAAGTTCTGAAATTGTATTAAGTTCTGAAGAAATGGAAGCTGGAATTGAAATTGAATCAAAAATAGTTGCAGTACTTGTTAAAAGACATGACTTTTTTAGAGTAGAACCAATATAGATATTTGTATAATATTGTAGTAGGTAATAACATCCTAGTAGGTGAAAGTTGGATATTTTTGTACCATGTTATTGTGTTTTTATATGAAAAAACAAAGAATTTATTTGTTGATTATGTTACCAAGTGGTCTTGTAACTGGTCAGCAATGATTCAGAGGATCATATCTTCTGCCCTGACAATGGAGACTATACAATCCTCAAAAATGATGGTAACCATGTGGCATCAAAACCCAGAAGACCATATTTCACTTTCACATTACCATGAAGGCTTCAGATCTCACATTTGAATATGTTGTGTTATATCTGTTAGCATGCTGATAGGAATCATATCCTACCAATGAAGTATGGAAATTGTCTTCCTCCTTTAAATGATTCCAGGTTATGTCATCCTATCTAGAGAATCTGTAGACTATAATAGAGGTATAACTAACTAACTAGATGGCGTACCGAACCCGAAGGTTCATCACCGAATTAACCAAAGCCCTCCACCGGACCCTGTCCTGGGCCAACAAAATCTAGTTTCCTTCAACTCCTATCTCCCATAGATCCCGCCTGAGATTATCCTCCCATCTACGTCTAGGTCTCCCCAGCGGTCTCTTCCCTTCAGGTTTCCCAACCAGTACCCGGTGCACACCTCTTGTCCCATCCATGCGCGCTACATGCCCAGCCCATCTCATAATAGAGGTATTCTGTACTTATTTAGTTAGTTTACACTTTTGAAGTACCATCTTAATGACTAACCTTTATTGTGTGGGAACAGGGAATTTACAGACCATATGTCACAGTTTATACACAGTCCAGTTGGCCATGAGTCAGTAGCATATTGCTAAACCATTTTCCTTGGAGTTAAAATCTGGCTTGCAACCCTGTAGTAAGGAGTTTGAAATCCTCTGTGATAAAGGTTAAATCGCCATAGTAGCAGACAGGCAGCCAAATTTTAAATCACAGAACTAACTGAAAATGGTTATCTTGGAATTATTCCTGCTAAAACATTCTAGGCAATTTCTTCAAAAAAAGAATATACATTGCCAAATGTTGTAGTGACTTTTTTACTTTTATAAACGTTGTTTCAGAAAAAAAATGTATAGATTTCTGAAGTAATAAAGTGTGTATATTATACACATAAATGTAAATGTACAGCACTTATTGATTTGGAAATGTTCTTTAACCCACATTGTGGTGACCTCTGAATTAGATTCCTTACTCAACTCCCTGATGATGGATGTAGCAAGGACCTGAAATATCGGTAAACTTCATCCAGACTACACAGTGCAACAACCTGGAAGACAGCCTTCTTCAGAGTCACTGCCATGAAAACCTCAGATCCTACATTTACATATTGATTCACAATATAAATACTTCGGTTTTTGTTATCAGAGAAGTGTTTTGCTCTATTTTGATCAGGAGTTTGGGGTCAGGTTCACACGTCTAGTGATGTGCTTCGCAGTTGTCTGTGTTGAACCTGTGGGTTCTGCTACCAGGAAGTTAGTTTGGAGATAGATATAAAATGTTTATAGTTATATAATATATAGCGCAAATTGTAACATCGAGGAAACGATGAATAGCGCGAAATATTTATATCAATTTTAATTTTTAACATCAATATTAATATAGTTTGTGTATAGACTTGAAGAATAAATATATGTATGAATATAAAATGTTATTATATTCACTTGTTTCATTAAATTCCTTAGATTATCACTATTCAGTGAGTCATTTTCTCAGAGAAAGGCAATGATTTATTCCTTTGTTTCTGGCCTTATTATCCCTGTTCAGAGAATGAGGTAATGGGTGTTGAGCAGGTTCTAATGCACAGGGAAATTACAAGAGGTTCTGTCCATATTTGATAAGTGTTTACACTAACACCACTTTTATCAATTTGTTATTACAGTGACATTTTTTTAATTTGCACTATACAAATGTCAGTCACACACAACACATACCAAAGAATGGATACTTTATGTTATTTGTTGGTACTGCTTAGGTTATAATATTTTGACTTTATACAGTCCATGATGAGGCTCATCAGTAAGGATTTAATCAGTTAGGTTTTAAGATTTTTAAAAACACAATGGATACAGTCTGAAACAAGGAAAATAGCAATATATAAATCATCACCAGAGACATTCAGAAATACTCATGTCCTTAAATTGCCTGCAATTTATTGCTACAGGTATGTAGACAGTGCTGATGGTTATGCATGTAATTTTATATTTTTGTAAAGAGCATTCAGAATGTGCAAGGAATGTACAGATTCATTTTTTAGTCTTGGTATTGCTGTCAGTAATTACAGAAATATTTCAAAAAATTGAAGAATGTTATGCTCAATGTAAAAATTAACCATCAAAATCATGAGCCGGTGATGACCTCTCAATGAATAAAGCTTTGTGGTGGTATGCAATTTGGACATTCGTAACATCGTAATGATTTTGTTACTATTGCATTTGATTTGACTTTAATATAAATTCAGGACTTTGGCCATCATTGTAAAAGTAAAGCAGTCCCACTGTATGCCATGTAGGCACTTGGGGTGAGAGTTTAGCTCTTACTCATTCTTAACCTTGGCACCAGATAGGGGTGAATGATCAGAGTCATGTCCCATCCCCGCTTTGCCCTTGTGAAAGGAACTGGGCACCCACTGGATAGGAGGCTGGGTGGCCTCCAGTACAGTATGAAACCCTATAGCAATATTTCAGATAATTTTTTGTGTTCAACGGAGAAAAGAGACAGTGGTGAACTGCATATAGAAAAAAGTAATGCTTGTATTCGTGAATAATTAATTTCTTTCACAAACACAATAATATAATGCCGATTGGTTTTTGAATTTCGCGGTGTTATCCCTATTTCCCGCTGTGCAATTGAGTTAGTCAAGTATAAAACCAGGACATAAGCAATTATTATCAACGACCCATAAATGTGGCTGCAGTAAATATGTCTAATATATTATTTCACTTTTTTCAAACGAATTTTGGTATTGCTAATTGAGGAATTATATTCTTCGTTAATGTATACCTCTGTTGAGTTTCGATGTAAAGTAGGCTTTTCCGTTCCAGTACAGTGTTAGTTGTGAGTAAGTTAGCATATTTGTATCTGAGTGAAGTATCTATTTAATCTGGCTTATTAGTTAGTGATTATTTTGTTAATGCATTTTTAAAACTGTATCCTACTAATGATGCAGCTTGTCATCTGCTCAGTATATCAATATATGTAGTCTTTGTCACATTAACCTTTTTTTGAAGCGGCATGGTGATTTTGCGACAGGGAATATGTTCCCCAAAATTTATACGATGTAAATTTATTTTACTTAAATTCGGCGATTGTATGCATTTTCGATTTTTTGTTTCTTCAGAATTAGTTTTGAAGGGTTCTCTCCATCAACATGGGGGCCTACAAATACATCCAAGAGCTTTACCGCAAGAAACAAAGTGATGTGATGAGATTCTTGCTACGTATAAGGTGCTGGCAATATCGCCAGTTGACAAAGATGCACCGAGCTCCTAGACCATCACGACCAGATAAAGCTCGTAGAGTGGGATATAAAGCCAAGCAAGGTATGAATTTGCCTTTGTATGCATTGTAAGTCGAAGTGAAGAGATGGAGAATGCCAGTGATGACTTGTACATGCACCACTCTTACGTTATCAGTGGGGATTATGTATATCTGAGGTTACAGATTTTCAGGTGAAGATGTACAAGTTAGAAAAAGGAATTTAGATTGTAACCCTTTTAATGTGTCTCAGGTTATGTCATCTACCGTATTTGTGTCCGCCGAGGAGGTCGTAAGCGTCCAGTACCAAAGGGAGCAACTTTTGGTAAACCAAAAAGCCACGGAGTAAACCAGCTGAAGCCAACTCGCAACTTGCAATCTGTTGCTGAAGTATGGATATGTATAAAATTAATAAATTTGAAAAAATGGCATATTAAAAGTAAGGGAGTTCCTTTAGAAAGGATTTCTTTTGCTTTAATAGGAGGAGGAGATTTAACGATGCTTGATGTGATGGCAGTGTGTGCCAGTAGTTCAGAATTGCTAAATCCAAAATTTGGAAGAAAAAGAAAGTTGTTTCACAGCTTGTCTACCTTATATCTGAAGAATGATTTTGAAGGTATATTGAGTAAAAAAGATGTTGAAACATAAGTCCTATTTGTAGAAGGTTGCCTTTTAGAATGTAGAACATTTTCAAAAATTTTGGCAAACCTTGTGGTTGCCATCTTCAGAGTGAATATGTGTTGGCTGTGAGTTTTAGGAAGCCTCATACATAGTGGGCAATAGGTGGAAAGTGGGATGTGATGGACTGGTTGATGCAGTGCTGCTGTCCAACTAGTAATGAACACTTGAGGAAAAGACATGATGAGAAAGTTTGTAAGGGATTCATAATAAGGAGAAGGTGATGAGAGAAGTTTTAGTGAAAATTATTGGATTGGTTGGTGTCCAACACCTCGTCCTCCAAAATCTCTGGACCTAACTTTGCTTGATTTTTTTTATGATGGTCTAATGATCAAAGGATCAACATACATACTAGACAGGAATGTCCACATTGGATTATGGATGCTGATGCTGCTTTCATATGAGACCACCCCAGAATTGTTTAATGAACAGTAATATCTTGTTTGGTGCAAGTGAAACTATGAATTAAGAACCATGGCGGACATTTTGAACAGCAAGAGATGTATCTCATGAAATATAGTTATAAATTCAACTTGTTAATGCAGTAAACCCTCAGTTTAATAGGCCTCTGATTAACAAAGACTATGGTATTGCCAAATTTTAATTAGACATTTTCAGTTTTCTTATATATAGAACTTACCCAAAGAATATTAGGTCCATTCAGTTATCTGACTCCTTGGATAATGTTATACACTTATTTTAAGTGTTTATAAACATCTTGTGCATTGACTTTCTCTATTGTCAAGATTCATGGAATGCATTTTATCTACCTGTCTGCTTTCACTTCATTTATAGGCTCTTAACAACTGATGCTTTTACATTATTGTTGATTTTTTTCACGTAACAGTTAGCCTTCACACTTTCATGGTTTATAAAATTTTGTATTATAGCTGAGTGGCATTTAAAATTTGCCATACAAATTATGATCATACGTTGAACTCCTGATAAGATGTGGGTGGATTAACCATTTCACAGATCAGTTGCTATTGGTATTCTCTGTTCTAAATCATTCTGAATTTTGTTTTGCTGTAAAGCAGACAGTTCTCATGTGACAGTGTTTACAGGCATATTGGAGCATGAGTTTCAATGAGTGCACTAAGTGTGTACGATGAGATGGTTTGGATTGGTGTACACGTTGGGCTTACACTCTGTTAGTTTCTGTGTAACAGAATGGATTGAGTGTGTCTCAATATGTGTAGTGCAGATCTGAACATGTTTTCTGGGTCATTGTTGTTGGAAAAGTGATTTTTTTTATATTATGTGCAACAAAATTCATATACCTGAAGTTTTCTGAGTTTTGGCTAGTGAGTGGCACAGCACTCTCTTAACCCCACTAAGTTTGTAACAAATGTTTTTCAGCACATAGTAATTGCAACTTAAGTGGCCCATCCACATACGAGTCTGGCTCGGCGAGCTTGACTCGTGAGCCGGGCTCGGATATATTTCACCACACATGCATAGCAGACTCGGCTCGTGACACCCCACCCACAAACGAGTTTGGCTCAGTGGAACCCGAGCCTGACTTGCAAGCCAGACTCGTACATGGATGGGCCGCTTTAGAATCACCCTCTTGCTGTGCTACGTTATTCTTAGCATTCTCATTACAGAATGTGAATATGAAAAATGCATTGCTTAACTTTGTTTTGGTCTATATCCTTTGAAATATTTGGGAATGACAGTAACAAACCAAAATTTCAATCTTGAAATTAGGAGTATACAAGATTTGGGGAATGCTTGCCACCACATATTTCATAATCTTTCGTTGTGTCTGCTATCTAAAGAGAATGTGTGACTTCAGTAAGTGGATTCTAGAATAGTACCTAATAAGGATATAGGTGCCTTATTTTTCTTTTGCATCTGATGATGTCTGCATATGTGAGTGGTCATGATGAATTTTCTTCCTTGGATATCTGAAGCAAAGGGGTGCTTATGTGCACGTGACTTGTGAATTGTACTCTTTTCATTAATGGCATTGTAGTGTGTTTTATAAATGTATGTTCCCAGGAGCGTGTTGGCAGGCGATGTGGAGGTTTGCGTGTCCTTAATTCATATTGGGTTGCACAAGATTCTACTTACAAATATTTTGAAGTTGTCTTGATTGATCCATCTCATAACGTGAGTATTACTGTAAGCATGTGAATTATGAAATCTGGTTTGAAAATGGTTAAACACACTGGCTTTGATTTTGTTGTGTTGCAAAGCACAGTGGAACCCCATATTTACACTTTCAAGGGTACTGATTCAGTCATGTAAATTGCTGGAACTTCAAAAGTCATAAGTTTAATACTTTTCTTAATCTTATCATTGAAATACTCAGCAGGTAAAATATTAAGCATATAATAATATTATGATGCATGTTAAAATCATTTGATGATCATCTTGAAAGTTTCTGTGCAGATTAAGCTGTGCATTTACTACATGTTCTGATTCACTATCACACTTGTATGCATGTCATAAAGATATCCCTTTTATTGCAGGCCATCCGTCATGATCCCAAGGCCAATTGGATATGTAAGGCCGTCATGAAGCATCGTGAATTACGCGGATTGACTTCTGCAGGCCGCAAGTCACGAGGTTTGGGTAAAGGACATCGGTATAGCCAAACTATTGGAGGATCAAGGCGTGCCGCATGGTTAAGGAGAAATTCCTTGCAGCTGCGCAGGAAACGTTAATGCTTTTATTATTGTTACTGTGTAAAGAATGGATAAAGGTGTATGGTCTGGCAATGGAAGAAGGTAAAGTAATTGTTTGACTTTGTCCTTTTGCCATTTATGTAGGTGAGGTGAGGTACAGCATTTATCAGTGTAAGGATACATGTTAATAAGAGTCATTCATGTTATTGATGAAGGTAATTATTTGTGCAGATATTCACATTTCATATAAATATGCCTACATTGATAGCTGAATCTGATCCACGCCTACTTGTGTTACCTTACCACGTTTTCCTTCTTTCATCTCCGAAATGAACACATTTTTGAGTAGAATTTTATACATTGGAGGTCAACATTTAGCACATGAAAAATAGGACTAATCTTATGGGGATAAGATTGTGAAGGACCTGGCATACTCTGGATCTTGCATGTTTTATCTGTGGTACTTTGATTTGTACCACGGTGGTCTAGCGGTTAGAACGCTGGCCTTGTAACCCTGGGGTCTCGGGTTCGATTCCCAGTGGTGCCCGAATTTATAACTTGTGTTGGGCAAGGCCGTGGTCTAGGCAACACAGAGTTATCCGGTTTCTCCGTGGCATCCCAACAATTACTCCATTCACACACAGAAGAAGGCAATGGCAAACCACTTCTGGATCATCTGCCAAGAACGTATATGAACAGGTCCCAGTCCGAGAAAAGGATGGAAGGATCCTGTTCATATGGACCTGTCGTCAGACAGAACACTAAATAAATAAATAAATAAAACTTTGATTTATAAACCATGAGATGTGGGGCCATAAGAAGCCATACCTGAAATAGAGGAAGCAAGCGTTTGTTGTTTCACAGTAGAATGTAATTTTGTATGACATAAAAGTTCACAAATTTCTTATCATTGCTTTAGATACATTAAAAATAGACTTTTATTCGGTTCATTCAATAAACATCAAATTCCATTTGTTAGTCATTAAAATACAAAACCTCAAGGAGAAAGAAGTGTCTGGCTCCTGGTCCAGAGAGACTTATCATGCTACAGTAATGTTTTTGCTTTGGTGTACAACACAGAAATAAGCGACTAGTATTCATACCTATCTTTCCAGTTCTCATTATGTGACCTCAACCACAGGCACAGTTAGAATTCAGCCAAGTAATTAATGCAGCTGTGCTAACCTACTTCAATATCATTGATCTACCAATAACAGTACATACAGGCAACATTATAGGACAGAATCTGTTGTGTATAAGGCAATTACTGGTGATTAATTTACTCGCAACCTAGAATATACCATTTTAGTGCCTTTGACTAGATAACTTGAAAATTAAAAGATTTTTGGAGAATACGGTAGGCATGTTTAATTTTCATGCCAATGATGCATCCGTCAATCCATCAGCATTTTCATCAGGTTCGTAATGTTGCAGTTTTTTCCGTAGTTCTTTTATTTGTTCATTCTTTTTGTTCAGGATTTTTTTCATGTTGGCATACACAGCTGTTTGACTGAATTTTCTCTCCAGTTCCTGCAAAAACATTGAACATTTTAAAGTATTTATTTTTACTTTAGGAAAAACTGACAAGTAAAGCACTCAAGAATCTTGTATCTCATCTGAAATTTTTCACATCGGTTAATCTACTGACTAAAGTTTCAGTTGCCGATCCAATGTGCAAATGTACGTGTGACATAACTGTACAGTGTAGCCTATCTACCAGGACTTCTAATAGAATTGGTGAACCAGTCATGAGT